CTACGCGTAGATCATGATGTTCTGTTAGAATCGCTGAAAACTGTTTTCCAAAATTCGCAGCGGGTAGTGTACAGCATCGATTTCTGTGGAACCCACTAGCTGTCAAAACTTTCACAATTTTACGAATAACTCGGAAATCGTAAATTTTTCAGGTAAAACGTTTGACACAAACTTAACTTAAATTTTGACGACAAATCTGAAAGTGAATGAAAAAAGGGGCGGTTCCATTTAAAAAACCAAAGTTGGTAACTACCACACGTTTATGATACACCCCGTATATTGGAAAGTAATTTTAAAATGTGGACCTTTTAAACATGAAAAACTTTTTTCATGAAAAAAAAGTTTATTCTAAATAAGACCCAGAAACAAATAGGTAAGAAAAATTCTTACTATTTCAAACACGAAAATTCTAAAGTTTATTTTTAGTGTTTAGTACAAAAAATCACGAGAGTTTTTTTGTAAGTAGAAAAACTTCTCCACATCTGCACTGGTTGAAATCTACATCTAAATTTGGACACCTTTCCTCCATTGTAAAATTTATCCATCTAAAACCGAAAACACGTTTTTAAACTTCTGAAATTATTTGTATTTTGCCGCAAATCAGCACAAAAGAAACAAGAAGCAAAATAACCATTAGAAAAACCTGTCAAATATCGTGTTTTTGCCCATTTTGTGCACATTTCTAAGCATAATTATTTTCTTATCTTTCCTGGGTCTCAATCAAAGTGTGAAGTAAAAATACTATACTTACTTATGGCTTTATTAGGGTTTGCTAATAACTGCTACGCTTGATGTAACATCATTATATCCCAATTGAATATGCCATAGAGTGTATAAAAAATAAATGGCAGGAAATCGAACAACATTCAACAATTCCAGAAAAAAAAATTATTGAAGCAGTAGAGCTATGACTAAAATCTACATATTTCAAGTTTGAAGAAAAATATTATTAACAAATATGCGGTGTTGCAATGGGTTCGCTCATATCAGCAACTATTGCAAACCTTGTTATGGAGAGCTTGGAAAAAAACATAATAACAAGCCTAAATTATAAACCAACTATCTTTAAACGCTATGTGGATGATTGTTTAATGTCTTTACCCAAAGATAAAATTCAATATACGCTAAATAAATTCAAAAATTTTCACGACACTAAAATTTACAATAGAAAAAAATAAAAATCAATCAATACATTTTTTAGACATAACAGTAAATTATGATAATTCAGGTGAAATAAAAACAAATTGGTATACAAAAGTAGTTTGGTCGGGAAGATATTTAAACTATAATTCATATGCACCCCAAAAATATAGAAAAGCGTAATAACTGCACGTACAGATAGAGCTATAAAATTATCAAAAAAAAAATCAGAAAAATATTACTGAATAATAACTACCCAAAAAAAATTTCTGAACCAATAATAAAGCGAAGAATTAACAAAATTTACAACTCAACTAAATATAACAATAATGAGGAAAAAAGAAACAATACATATAGGATATCACTACCATATATTTCAGAAATCAATAAAAAAATGTCAAAAATACTAAAGCCACACAACATTATAATTGCGGAAAAAACAAAAACAACTTATCAACTGAATGTTTCCCAAAACTAAAAGCAAAAACTGACAGAATGGATGTACCAAATACTGTATATAGAGTGAATTGTTTAGAATGTGATAATACATATATGGGACAAACTAAACAATATTTAAAACAGAGAATGTACGAACATAAATACAGTCTGAGAAATACTAGTGAAAATAAAACAGCATTAACACAATATGCACACCAAATGTTACATAATTTTGATTTTAACAACTCAGATATATTAGTTAGGGAAGCAAATTATCATAAAAGAAGAATCCAAGAAATGATACAAATAAAAAAACATGCAAAAGCAGTAAATTTCAGATCAGATACCGACAACCTTAGCAACATTTACCAAACCCTAATAAAGCCATAAGTGTAGAACACCCAGTACACCAGTAACCAGCACCAGTGAAAAATTAAAACTATTTCCGCTGATCTCAGTACATACTAGAGGTGGGATAAACGGTTATTTTTCGTTACAACGTTCCAGTTTCACGTTGGTAATAGGTCTCAAAATGCCGTTCCAAAAGGAACATGTTACTTTTAAATTTTTTCATTAAACATGCGCAATGATGATGGTAGAAATAGTAATGACAAATAATGATTTAGTTTATTAAAGGAATATTTCTTAACTAAAGCTCTTAGATAAAATAAAATATTCTAAAATAAAAAACAAAACATGGGTCAGAAGTGCCTGCTTAACAGAAGAACTGAAGAACAAAAGAACTGATAATAAACTAGATAAAATATATAAATAAAAACTGATTAAATAAAATATACGCTTTATTTGAAAAAAATATTTAAAAATCTAATTTTCATTTAACAATAAATTAACGTTTAAAAATAATTTTTTTTGAAGATACTTTTCGAAGTTCGAAGTATTACCCGAGTAAATTTTGGTACCACCAAAAAATAATTTTTAAAAATATGTCGACCCCACAACGCCTATATAACTAACTTTCATTTCATCTTGTGGCTGAATTTATATCTAAAAATGGCAAGCTTGCTTAAATGCAGGTGCACATTGTTATTACAACGTTAATTATTTTACATTTTCTGTGATGGAATTTATGTCTTGGACTCTAAATTTGCTCATAGCTCATATGCACTGTGTACATTCTGCTTAGTTTGCTGATTATAGGCATATACATCTCGAGCTAAGTTTATTAAAGAGATAAATCCCTTTTTTTAAGATCTGTTACAGAACGTCAGAAAACTAAATACTTATAGACTAAAATCGCTGAATTAATATCTGATCCATATCTGAACGATTATGGATTCTGGAGAACTGAACAGTAATTCTTATAAACGAAAAGTGATAAACACAATAATCAAGGCAACACGCCACTATACATATTTTCCGTTGACAAATGGTTACTGAAACTGCTGCAACTGCATAGAGCGCTCGACGATCCCGCATCGGTTCTGTGCTGACGCGAACTACTTTTTCAGGTTTATGAGACGGATCCAAAAAAACGTTTAAATCGGCAAACGGCTGCAGCTAGAGTGAAGTGCGCACGACTGTTTCTGTTTTATGAAACGGTTTCGAAAAGAACGGTTTAAGTCGGCAAACGGCTGGAGCTGGTTCGAAGTACGCTCAACTGTTTCAGTTTTATGAGACGGTTCCAAAAAGAACGGTTAAAATTGGCAAACGGC